CACGGAGACACCACGGGCCCCCCTGACACCAGGCCAGGCAGAGAGGTGGCGCTGGGGGTCTGCGTGCACCCCCTGGCCCCGGGCCCCTGGCCGCCCTCCCCAGTCTGGCCACGCCTGCCTGGGCGAAGGCAAAATGACATCCAGCAGGGAGGGACAAACAGATGGCTTCCCTTCCAGTGCAGGGCCAGCCTGCCAAGGCAGGAAGAACGGGAATGTTCTGCCGCCCACGCACTGCTGACAGCCACCGCCCCAGCCAAGGGGCTTCCCCAAGTTCCCAGAGATTCCCAGGCCCTGCTCGCTGGTGCCGAGACCACCCTGGGGGCGCGGCTGGCCCGGGAAGGAAGTGGGGGGCACAGCCCGCCCGGTCCAGCACAGCCTCTGCCCCCACAGACCTTTTCCCCGGACCCCAGCGGCCAATGGGGCCTCAGAGAGGGCGAGGCCAGAGACAGCCGCCAAGCAGCACGCCCTGCCCCCCTGCCCCCCCCCACCCCCCGCCCTGGGGCCTGGAGCACAGCCTGGGACAGCAGCCTGGAGCCAGCCCCCGAGGTTGCAGGCAAAAACCAAGCAGAAGGAAAGAGCAGTAAAAACAGCGCAGAGGCGGGGTGCGGATTTCTTGGGGGGAGCCCTGCTCTGGGCCTGGTGGAGGCACGTTGCCACCTGCCATGCAGTATGTCCCCCACCCCCCAAACCGACTATTCGTGCCTCTGTGTAGACAGAACACGACTGGTGTTGCTGGTCTGATGGAGTGTTCTCGGAGCCAGGAGCCAGGAGCCAGCCGGCCGCCGGTCAGGCCCTGGCTGCCCACCTCCAGTCCTGGCCCTACTGCGCACTCCAGGCCAGTGACCCCACCTCTCCAGGCCTCACCAAACTGGGGGGATTCAGAGAGTCACCTACATGGGCACTCACTTTGCTTGTCAGTCCCCAGAACACCCCAACCCATGTCCTTATCCAGCACTTTCCCTGAGGAAGTGCTCCCTGAACCGAGATGGGGAGCTGAGCAGTGGTCCTCAGAGGAGGGACAGCAGAAAGTGAGGGGCGCCCAGCCTGCCGCAGCAGGAAGAGAGGACCAGTGGCAGGGCTGGCTGACCCCCAGCACCTCTGGAGAGGGCCCGGGGAATGCAGACTTCGCTGCCGAGCAGAGGCCCACACAGACCCATGGACACAGCCCTCCACGCAGGCCTGGGGCTGAGTAACACAGGGGGCCCCGGGGTCACTGGAGGCCCTGCTCCCTCTCCTGGGCTGCCCCAGGAGACCGGACCAGTTCTCCACTGGCCTCACCTTACAAGAGAAAACCCCGAGCAGAGCTCAGGTCACTGCCTCTGAGGAAAAGCAATTTACCTTGCGTGGGATTTCAACACTTGGCATCCCATTCCGAGGAGTGGGCCATGCAGGCTGAAATTCAGTCACGGGCATACTCAATCTCCTTCCCCTCTGCCCCCCAGGGTGGCCAGCCCTCAACAATGTGCTCCCTGGTCTGGAAGCTTCCTCAATGTTGTGTAAGGCGATAGCGCTGTTGGCCAGGGCTGGGGCCTCGCTGAGTAACCTAAGCCGGCTTTCTCCTCCGGAATGTGGTGAAAGGCCCCATCCAGGAATGTTCTGGGCTGTTGGTATCTTGGTGGGGGTTAGTTTGCTTGTGGCAATGTCTGGGTAGCAGAAAGGAATAAAAAGTTGCAAAAGGCTAAAAAGACCTCTCAGGTTCGGTGGAAGGTCCTGGCGGACACAGCAGCCTGCCTCGGAGGGAGGGAGGCAGGCGCAGACCCAGGCAAGGACGTGCCACCTTCCCGTGCGTGGTGGCTGGGCCTGCTGGCTGCTGCCTCGCAGCGACCATGTGGTCCAGCAAGTAGGCAGGAAAACAAAAACAAAAACAAACCCTGGGAAAGCGGAAAAGTACATCCATGTCCTGCCAAAGACTTGGAAAGAGAGTCAGACTCCCTGAGCTGCACATGTCACTGCGTGGACCCACCAAGAAGAGATCTGAATTCAGTGTGTTTATCAATCTTCCCCAAAGGTAAGGGCAGCAAAAACTCCTGTTCCCGACCTGGGGACCTCCTGTTCCTTGCATGGTCTCCCTTTGTGGGTCAGCTGTAGAATCTTCTGGAACGTCTCTGAGCTCCTCGGAGACAAGAACCTTTTGTCCCCTGATGGGAGCACCTCCGGCGAGGCCTCAGAGAGGGAGGCTTTGCAGCAGCAGGGCTGCGCACCCACGCGCCGGACACAGGGTGTCCACGCCAGGTCTGTGAGCCCGGCTGGGGGAGGGCCTGGGCTGGACCTCAGAGGGTGAGGAAGGGTGAACTGTGACCTGCCTCAGGAAGGTAAACACACCTTGATGGAAGTGAAAACCCCAGTTTGAACTCGGTTTGCACCGAGTGTGCTTGGTATAACCAAGGATGGGACTGCGCTAGCGCTCTCCTCGGCAAGAGGGAGGTTTTCCCGGAGCGCGGGAAGGCAGGTGGCTGGTTCCTTGGCAAAGCTTGGGTCCCCTCTTGGGGAACTGCCCGGGGGGCCTTCTCCCTGCTGCACCCCCAACCCTATCCACACAGCACCCTGGAGTGCAGGGCCCAGCGCAGGAATACCCACGGGCAGGTGGGTGGCGACCCCAGGGGGCCAGCTGGGCTGCTTCAATTCCGAGCCCCGGCCCTCCGTCCGAGGGTTTGCAGCTGCCTCCTCCCCTCCATAGGCGGCAGGGCCCCCCCAGGCCCCATCAAAACTGACCGCTCCCCCCCGACACGTTTCCTTCCCTGAAAGTCCATTTGGACTTCTTAACTGCACAGTCATCACATACTAGAGCTCCGCGGCTTTGCAGACTGAACAGCTCAACCCCCTCATTTTAGGGGTGAGGTCCAGGGGTGGGGAGGGACACACGGATGGCACAGGCAGGACACGCGTCCACTCTTCTTTCTAGGCCAATTCGCCTTCCGCACCACTGTATTACCTCAGCGGAGAGAACTGCTGAGGATTTGGGGTCGAGGGTCCTTCCAGAGGCTGGTTTGGGGCATGAGCTCCAGGGGCCCCGCAAACCCACAGCTGCCCGTGCTACCTGTGGTCCTCAGGGCCGCGTGCACGTCCTTGGCGCGATCCCCTCAACAGCGGCCCCCCCCTCATTCTGTGTGCCCAGCTGTGCTCCGCGGCTCTGCACACCTCCACTCAAGAACGGAGAAATGGAGTCTGGCCGTCCCCGTGCCTCCTTGGGTCTGGGCCTGGGCCAGGATGCTGAAGAGGAGAGTCTGGGTGCCTGGGGAGCGGTTACTAAGCCTGGGGCCTATCGGGCTCGTGGGTCCATGGCCGGGGCTCCCTGTCAGCGGCAGTGGGAGCCCGGGGACAGGCCCCTCTGCCCAAGTGCACTCGGCCACTTTGAAGAGACACCCCGGCGAGAGGGCCTCAGGCCCATGAGGGCACACGGGTTGCAGCAGATGGCCTTGAGGTTCACTCTGGCTACCCTGCTGAGCAGTTACTGTGTGTCTGTGGAAGTCTTTCCCTTCCTGGCTCTGGGTGGGGGGCGGGGGCAGGTGCAGAAAGTTCCCGAGTCCTCTCGCTCTCAAGCTGGGCCACTGCCGTTTACACAGGAGGTCACTCACACCGAAGGCCCTGGTGGCAGTCAGGCCCACACTCAGAAAACACGGATAAAGGTCATCTGTGCCAGGAGCTCTCCTGCCCCGGGGCCTTTGCTCTCGCTCTTCCCTCAGCCTGGTGCACAGTCATCCCCGACGGCAATCTGCCACTCGTAACTCCTCAGGATTATTCAGACATCACCTCTCAACCACGGCTTCTCTTTCACCTGACACCCCTTCCCTCTCCAGGGTTTTACTGTCTTCTGATGTACTTATATTTTACAAGTTTATTTTATCCACCGCCTCTGCCTCCTAAACCTGCCGGCCTCCTGAGGGCATGTTCCCTGCGGAGCCCCCTGACCAGGGCAGAGCCCGGTGGTCCCTGAGCACTGCCCACGCCTCCCAAGGAAACACGACGGTCCTCCCACGGCCCTCCTAGGTGTGCAAATTTGGGGGGAAAGCCGCTGCCGAACAATCCCGGCACATTTTGCTAAAGCAGCCGCGGCGGGGCTAGGCCCTGAAGGAAGCAAGCTCCCAGCGGACGGTGTTAACTTTCTGCAGCTGGAATGCTTCCTGAGAATGTTGATCTTCAGCGCGGCTGCACTCAGGGGAGGCCCACGTCCCGGGCAATTTTCCACACAGCTCACCAGTCCGAGCAAAGGCTGAGCTGAGGGCAGAGGTGGCAAAAGCACGTCCCCCAGCTCCCCCCTTCCCGGGATGCGGGCTGCAAGCGTCGCAGGCTGCCAGGGCCGGAGAGGGGGGTCTGTCGGTGCAGGCGCGAGGGCAAATCCGGGCTTTGCGGAGCCCGACGCTTATACCTTGGGGGGCGGGAGGGGAAGCGGGCCACGCAGCCTTAGAGGAAGAGGTCAACCTTAGCACAGCAGGATTGTGCCCAGGTGTCCCCCGGCTGCGCGGCGGGCAGGCCTTCTCTCCAGGGCGAAGAGCGGTATGTGGGGGGGGGGGACCGGGCGGCGGACGCGGAGGGCAGGAAAGCACACTCCAACCGCGAGATCTGACACAGCTTTCAGGACTCCGGCGACAAACAAGGGCATTTCACTGCGGGGCGCGACGCACCCTGGAAGCAAGACTCTCGGGGAGTGCGGGGCCTGGGGACCCCCGCCGCGCTCCGCCCCCCCCGTCCCCCTCCCCTGCCTGAGCGCGCTCGCAGGGCCTGGCCGGGCCTCTTCCCCCAGCCGCGCGCTCCTGCAGCCCCGGGGGCCCGAGGCGTGAGCAAGTCACGCCTGCAAGTCCCACTGCCGCCCGCGCCCCCACACCCGGCCCCCAGCAACCGCGCCCCCCGCAGCCGTGCCCCCACACTCGCCCCCTCGCCCCTCCGGAACCGCATCCCCACAGTCGCCCGCCTCACCCCTCGCGCCCCACACTCGGCCCCCAGCAACCGCGCCCTCGCACCCCCGCACCCCCACATCTGCCCGCGCCCCCGCGCCCCCTTACGGTCGTCGGCTCCCAGGCCCCCAGGCTCCCGTGGCGGCGGCGGGCGCGCGGTCTCTCGCACTCGCGCTCTGCGGGCTCTGGCGGCCCCACGCTGACCCCGCCCAGGCTCGGCCCCCGAGGGGCGGTCCGCGGTCGGGCCCAGGGCCCCCGGAGGACCCGGTTCAGTCCCGCCCCGCCCCGCCCCGCCCCGCCCCTGTTACCGGTCGGGTCCCCAGCCCCCGGGCTGCGCCTCTGCTGGAAGAGGGCGCCTCCAAGTGCCGGGCGTGGGCCCCGGGTGCAGCCTCGGAGCCGAGGCGTTTAGGGACCTGGAGCAGTTCGGGGCAGCCCCTGGGTCGGCTGACTCCGGGGGCGGAGGCGTCCTTCGCGTTTCTTCCCTGCAGACTTCGCTGCCCCTGCACCTCGCACACGTGTGGGGCCTGTCGCGCTGGGCAACTTAAGTCCAAACCCAGTCGTCTGCACGGAGGCAGGAGCTGCCCCCAGGTCTTCCCAGGGAGGACCCGGGTCTGCGGCGCCGACACGGAAGGGGTGGGGGCTGGGGCTCCCCTGACACTCCCCACGGGGACTGATCGCAGACCTCCGCCTGGGGACGGCCCTGCTTCCCTCCTCGAGACCCCGCAGCGCCTCTCCTGAGCCCAGGAGGCGGCTGTTCCCACGCCTGGCACCCTCAGGCCTCAGTTGGCAGAGGGCTTGACGCGGGGGGTGGGGGGCGGGATGCTGGGGACCCGCCTCCGGCCTGGCCGCTCACCCGGGCCCGGGACTCTGCCTTTCAGGGAGAGGGGCTGCTTCTGGCCGGCGGGACGCCCGACTCATCGCCGCCTCAGGGCCTTGGCTCGTGCCACAGCCCTGGACAGGATGCCTTCCTGCGGCCGACGTGCAGTGCCCCCGCGCCTTCATTCTACACCCTCCTGCAAAAGCCCTCTGTCACCCTGCGGTCCTGGGCATCTCTGTACTCATTCAAAACTTGCCCTCTGTTACACCCCCCCCCCCCAGTCCTTCCCCCAAATCTTTCAAACAGAAGCTCTGGCCATTTCACCAAGGAACTCAAATTTGCTGTTATTCTTAAAACGGCAGTAATGATGAAAACATTTTAAAATTAGATCTTGGTGATGACTGCACCTCCACAACTCTGTGAATATGCTGAAAACTACTGATCTGAACACTTTAAGAGGGTATAGTATGTGATTCATATTTCGGCAAAGTGGGTATTTTTTTTTTTTTTTTATAAAATAACCGCAGTGACATCCTAACCTCAGGGCTCATGCCTCTATCCTAACATCCTCCTCCTTGGTTAGGTCATCCGTCCAGCATTAGAATATGAACTCTAAGATAGTGGAGATCTTTCTTTTCTTTTCTTTTCTTTCTTTCTTTTCTTTCTTTCTTTCTTTCTTTCTTTCTTTCTTTTCCTTTCTTTTCTTTCTTTTTTTCTTTCTTTCTTTCTTTCTTTCTTCTTTCTTTCCTTTCTTTTTAAAGATTTTATTTATTTGACAGAGAGAGAGAGAGACAGCAAGAGAGGGAACACAAGCAGGGGGAGTGGGAGAGGGAGAAGCAGTCTTCCCACGGAGCAGGGAGCCCGATGCGGGGCTTGACCCCAGGACCCCGGGATCACGACCTGAGCCACCCAGGTGCCCCAATAGTGGAGGTATTTCAAAGCACAACCTGTATCTAGGCAGTCGGTAAATAAATAAGCCAGAGTCCAACTTGGCCAGGCAAACTTTAGACAGCAGATTTCCACTGCTTTTGGTTAAAAGCCACCCAAAGGTTTATGAAGCAAAAAGGTGGGTATAATGTGACTCCCAGGATATGTTCTATATTTTTAAAAACCAGAACAAAGGCTATTCCTGTGGATAAACTCCTGGAGACTTTCCAGGGACATCAGGTAGAATGAAAAATAACGTGGGGGAGGGGACGCTTTTTAAATAAAAACTGTAGATCAGTTCCTGATTCACCACTAAGGAAACAGATTCTTTATGTCAAAAATGCATGCATGAGGAAACATCAGTCAAAAACCAAATAGAGGAACATTCCAGAAGCTAATGGCCCGTATCTCCAAAAATGTCAGTGTCAAAACAATGTCAGTGTCAGAAAACAAAACAAGGCCGAGAAACTGTTTCTCACTGAAAGGCTAACGAATCATGAAAACCAATTGCAATACTCTAGCTGGACTGGGCCCTGGGCTGGGAACAGTTCTAGAAAGGATTTATTGGGGACATTTGAGTCAGGTCTATAGATTAAACAATAGATTATAAATGTTAAATATCTTGATTTTGAGAACTGAATTTTTTCTGAGTGAATATTAGGAAAATATACACTGAAGTATTTAAGGAATAATAGAACGCCAGGTCTGAAATTGTTCTATCTCTCTATGGAGGGAGAATCATAAAGGAAATGTTGCAAAATATCAACAATTAGCCACTGGGTAAAGAGTATTTGGGAACTATTTATACTATTCTTGCAACAACTTTACTGTAAGCTTGGAATTATTTTGAAATAAAAAGCTTAAAAACTTGTGGATCAGAGAGGGGCACCTGGGTGACTCAGTCGGTTAAGCGACTGACTCTTGGTTTCGGCTCAGGTCGTGATCGCAGGGCCGTGAGATCGACACCCCCATGTCAGGCTCCACACTCAGCAGGGAGTCTGCTTAGGACCCTCTCTCCCTCTCCCTCGGCCCCTCCCCACACACCCCCCACCCCAACACTCGCTCTCTCTCAAACAAATAAATCTTTTTAAAAATTGTGGATCGAAGAAACATACGCATTTATCTCAGTTACTGAAAACAACATGGAAATAACTACAGAGGGATAAAAAAAGTTATATATTCTACAGGGACAAAGTGAACAAGAGAAAAGGTAACAACAGAGGAGGAACATCAAGTTTCTGTAAGGCTGAAAGTAGGCGGATTGATTCAGCAAAACAAATAAAGCTGAAAACCTTTCTACAACCAGAAGCAGGCACATTCTTGCTCTAGACCTGCAGAGATCAGCAAACTACAGACCGGGCCAAATGTGGCCCGCAACTTGCTTTGGTAAATAAAGTTTTACTGAGGCAAGGTTGCACTTGTTTGCATATTGCCTATGGCCGCTTTCCTGCTACAATAGCAGAGATGAGCCGTTACCCACACAGCCTAAAAAGTTTATTATGTGGCCCTTTCCAGGAACAGTTTGCCAACACCTACCTTACAGCCCTGCAAAGTCTTAGGAGCCACAGGCATCAGGAGCCTCTGAAGGCAGGGATGTGGGTGGGTGTGGGGAACAGCGATCGGCCACAAACCCTGAGTGTCCCTGCATGGCAAGAATGCAAGGCAAAGACTCAATCATAGGGCATGATCGCTTAATGAGGAGAGAGTTTCAGTTTTGCAAGATGAAAAGCGTTCTGCAGATGGATGGTGGTGATGGTTGTACAGCAATAGGAATCAACCGAGTATCACTTAAATGTACACTTAAAAATGGTTAGGGGCTCCAGGGTGGCTCAGTCAGTTAAGCGGCTGACTCTTGGTTAGGGCTCAGGTTGTGATCTCGGGGTGGTATTGAGCCCCACATGAGGTTGTGTGCTCAGCGGGGAGTCTGCTTGAGATTCTCTCTCTCTCTCCTTCTGCCCCTCCTCCGTGCTTGCTCTCTCTCTTTCTCTGGCTTGCTCTCTCTAAAATAAATAAATATTTAAAATGGTTTAGATGGCAAATTTTATGTTATATGTGTTTTACTTCAATAAAAAAAAAAATTGGGGGAAAAAAACCCTAGAAGGATTAAGGTCTGTAAAAGAAGTTATATCCCCTGTCCCTGGTTCTCAGTCCAAGCCCTCATCTTGGCAGGTCAGCAGTTTATTTCCTAGAGACTTCCCACTCGGGCACGCGGCACAAGTAGGACAGGGATGAGGCACCTGGCAGAAAACAGGAGAATCGAGTGAAAGTGTTCACGCTCAACTATGAGTCCCTCCTTGGCCCCTTCCTGCTGTGGGTTCACAGAACACTGCCTCCGGGTAATGACCCCCAGGCAGAAGTAGAGGATCAGTCTCTGAAATAAAGGAGCAGTTCCCGGGGAAAAGAGCCACAGATAATGACATTTGGGGGCCTCAAAACACAACTGCTGGCTCCCTGTCTGATCGCCCTCCACTGAGGCCAGTGTGGGGTTACTGCCCACCACTCACATGGAGCTGCCAACTGGTGTTTCAGTGTCTCAGTCCTAAATATTAAAAGAGCAGACACTTGGAAAGCCTCTGACATGAAAGGCAAAGTACAGAAGGAGTGCTCGAAGGCAACAGAAGAAATGATAACATCCACAGAGATAAGAAATTAATTGTATTTATGAGGCAGGAACAGGAGGCAATAGACAAAAAAAGCATTCAGACAGTTAGAAAACACTTTTTGAAATAAAATTTTTGACAGAAAATTCAGAGCATGGAGTTGAGGAATTCTCCCAGAAAAACAGAACACAAATCAAAGAGATAGATGGTGGGGAAAAAAGAAAGAAAGGAAGGAAAGAAAGAAAGAAAGCAAAAGCAAATCAGAAGATCGATCCAGGAAGTCACCAGACTAATATGAGTTCCACAGGGGAGAAAAAAGAGGGGCGCCTGGGTGGCTCAGTTGGTGAAGCATCTGCCTTCGGCTCAGGTCATGATCTCGGGGTCTTGGGATTGAGCCCTGGGTCAGGCTCCCTGCTCCGTGGGGAGTCTGCTACTCCCTCTCCTTCTGCTCCTCCACCATTATTCCCCTGCTCGTGCTAGCTCTCTTGCTTGCTCTCTCTCTCTCTCAAATAAATAAAATCTTTAAAAGAGAGAGAGAGAGAGAGAGAGAGAAAAGAATATAGAGAGAAGGAAGTAACTAAAGAAATAATGCAAGAAAATTTCCAAAACCAAAGGACAGGAGTCTCCAGATTGAAAAGACACAATAAAAAGCCAGAACCACACCAATGCAAGTCATCGTGAACTTTCAGAATACTAAAGAAAAGATAAGCTCCTAAAAACTCCTAGAGAGAAAAACGAAAACATAAAGAGGTCAACACAAACAACAATCAGAATGTCTCAGTCTTCTTAGCAGTAACACTGATGCCATAAGACAGTGATGCAAGGCCTTCAAAAGTTGGAG